CCGGTTGTTTGCAGAACCCTTCATGGGGACCGGCTTCTCAATTGAGATCCGTCCCTTGATTTCTTTTAGGATAAACTGGTTATCCTTGTTAAACGCATACTTTGAGGAGTATGGTTTGAATTCTTTTTTCTTTTTCTAGGCCGGCTGTTTAGAGGAATCAGCCGCCCAGACCTCTTTTCTTTTCTCATCTTTGTTAGACGACTGTTTCTGTCGTCCTTCTCTTTTGTCGAACCTTTTTCCGTCCGACTGTTTTATCGTACAAAGATCAGTCGCCTGTATATAGGCTTCCGCTTCAATCAAGGCCTCTTGAAGAGTCGCCACCCTTTTTCGAACCAAATCAAATTTGAAGGTAGACCCGTCTTTGAGACCTCTGAAAAAGTCAGTATAAGCTACCTCATCCGGTAACCCTTGAATCTGTATTCTCATCAGGTTAAACCGCCTGATGTAAGAACGAAGCCCCTCCTTCTCGCCCTGCTGAATTGTTCCCAAATCAAGGGTCGTTTTCTTCGCAGCGATGTTCATGGCGAAGTTGGAGGCAAATAAGTAAGCAAGCGTCCTGAAGCTATTTACACAACCAGTCGGCAGGTTGCCGAACCATTGCTGTGCAATTCCTTTGAGAGTCGCTGGGAAACACTTGCACCAAGTGGGATCATCCAACCCTTGAAGGTACATCAGGTTGGTGAATGCCATCAGATGGTCTTCTGGGTTAGTAGTGCCGTCATAGGCGTCTACTAGTACATTTTTCACTTTGGCCGGCTGAGCGGCTTCAGTAATTTCCTTGGAGAAGGCCGACGGCTGTTCACCAAGTCTAAGAAACCGTAGCTGCCAGTCCATAGGTTGGACGTTTTTTGCTGCAGGTCCACCAAATGGAGGTGGCTGCAAAAAATACTGTTGTTGCGGCACAAATGGTAAGTTTGGTACCGCCTGGGCACTATGAAAGCCGGACTGACGGGAGGTGCCGCCTAACTGACTCTCATGGTACGACTGAGTATGCCTCATCGAGGCATTTCGCAAACTGTCTTGAAAGTTTGAAGTAGAGGCCGACTCTGACAATCGGTCACTCTTCTTCTGCTCTAGCAGTAGCCGAGCATCTGTGAATGTTTGCTTCGACCCGTCCGCCTGAATATGACGAACAGGTTTCCTATTTCCTGTAGGATAACGGAATTTTGTGAAATCAAGGGCAGGTGGCTCCCGCTTCCTAGATTTAGGATGAGGAGTCGCCTCTCGCCCTTGAACTGGCTTCCTCTTCAGTGAAGTGGAGGGTTTCTTGGCCGACTGCTCCTTGACTGGAGCAGTCGACTTCTTGTTGATCAACTCTTGAATCTCTCCCTTGAAGTCCCTCATGAAGGTCATGAGTTCGTTCCTTGTGATGGGAGCAGACCCATCAGTCGGCTGTTGCCGAACAGGCGATGCGCCTGCTGGCTCGCTTCCTGTTTGAAGATGCTCCCGTTCCCTCCTTTCGGTATGACGGGTACGTCGGGCCCTTAGGGTCCCGTCTGAAGCTGTATGAGCTTCAACTTCAAATTCACTTTCGGTATCATGGTCCGACTGAACTTGAGGGTCGTCTAGGGGACGCCTCTCTTCAGGAGTCGGTACAGACTTGGATGCCATCTCTGAAGTACTCTCCCCACAGATGGCGCCAAATGTTTCGGGGTTTTCTGATGTCCTGCGGGAGAGTTACAATTCCGAGACTGGAACCAGACGCCTGTACCTGCAAAATAACGAAGACTCCTGTGAGCTCCGCCTCCAACGGTCAAGTTAGTACCTGATTAAGGAGTAATTAATGCGGAAATTAAAGTAATAAGGTCTCTCTAGGTGAGAGTGTTTAATGTAGGTAATCTGCTTTGTTAGCGAGATTAGCCGGTTATTACTGTGTGTAATTAATGTGTTTGTTCCGTAATGTTTTTCGTAATCTTCCTGTCCTCCCCCTTAATGAGGATTAAGGGAGGTATTTATAACCTTGGGAAACGTGCCCACCCTAGGTTTAGGTAAACCTAGGGCCGATTGGGCTTCCCTCGGAAATTGGGCCCGGGTGGCCGGTTTCTCCATTAGGCATGGAGTATGCCACATGTCGTGACATAACAGGTCCAAGGTGGACGAATAAGCGCGTGCCACGTGGCAAGCCCTGGCAGTTCCAACTAGGGGACACTTGGCAGGACCTGATTGGTCCACGTGGCGCATTCCGATTGGTGGGAGCAAAATCCCCTAATCACTAGTAATTGGAATGGATTGGTATGGAATCTCATACTTGAGAGATATGGATTCTAAAACCCATACTAGTCCAAAGTTGTTTGGTTTTATAGTTGGAATGAAATTTATCATTCATTAATAGAGTTGATTGTGAATTTTAGGGGGAGGGGTGGGTATGGGATTCCATGGGTATGAGGGGAAATTAGAATCCCTTGGGTATGAGATTCTATTACTAAAAATCTCAACCAAACAAAAAAGGTAGATGAAATGGATTCTAACTCAATTCCAATCCATTCTAAATGATTCAACCAAACTACCCCTAAGATGCTTGATGCATGTTGATGTTGTCTACTCTATTCAGATTTGCATTGTAGATTGTGGAGGCCCTCCCTATTTCTAGCTTTGTCGCAATTTTGCTTGTCAAAGCTTAATATGATCTGATATGATTGCATTAGTCAGTAGAATTTGATTTTAATGGCTGTGGTTGATATGTTGGGACTACAAATCCATTTTAGAAACCTGTAAAATCATGTACTCTGTGTTATCTTCTACTTACTGTAGTATTCTATATGACGGAAAGAGAGACACAATATATTAATGGAAAAAAATTAACAACAAAGGTCCTAACTATTACTGATCTTCTTTAAAAGGGCCAACCTATTAATTAACTTTGGACAGACCAACTATACTTATGTTTTCTCAAAACAGTCTAGTGTGACTTGTTACCCGTTGAACCGGTAAACTTTTTAATTAAAAAAATATTTTCAATTTTTGCCCTATTACGCCATAACCACCGCAACTCCGTCCTCCTAGTCTCCACAACATAACCACCTGGCAACCACTTGAATTTCCACCACCACCATTTTTCTTCTAACTCCCATTCTTTCTCTCTCTTCACTACTTCCCATCCACAACACACAAGCCACCTCAAACTGGCAACCAACGTTTTCAGTATCCCACAACCATGGCCAATTGATGGCTACTCATCTTCTCTCTCTTTACTTAACCTTTTCTTCTATATATCATATATGGCCATCAATTTCTCTAGGCAAAGGTTGATAAGGTTATTGACTTATTGTGCTGGGGGCTATGTGGTGGCGTCACTAACATGGGCAGGTGGGTTGTTGTAGGGGTGAGTTGGTGCCTTGGTGGCTTCGAAAAGGTTATTGATGGGGGTGTATTATTGCGATGTTGTCGATGGGTAGGTTCTTGGTGATAATTTTGTGGTGGTTGAGTGGGTGGGTTTTTTTAAACTTACTATGGAGATGGATGGGTTAATCGATCTGGGTTGGTGGTTTTGGGGGTGGGGTTTATTAATTGGTAGGGGACATGGGGTGGTTGTGGCAATATTTAATCCATTACAATGCAGATTTTGCTCATGTATTACATAATTTGGTAGATAATTAATAACTACATAAATTCTTATTACATAATTAACTTGTAGTCTAATCCGACGATTGTTGCTTGCCACTATGCATATTGGATTGATTTATGCCATAATTTTAAGATTTATAAAGTTGCAACAATTTTAAGTGAAGAGGAAAAAATTGCAATATTAAAGGGAGGTTTTATCGAAATCAAGAAGAAAGGGGAAATTTTTGATTTTTGTAAATTCAAGGTCACGTGACATATTTTACCTATAATAGCAAGTCGGATACAGGCTGGGTCCACGCGTGTGAACTACACTAAATAGTTGGGTCCGTTCAAAGTTAATCAAAAGGTTTGCCCTTTTAATGAGGACTAGTAAAGTAGTAATAGTTGGGACCTTTCTTGTTAATTTTTTCTATATTAATAAGATTGTATTAGGTAGAAGTTGGTGATGTTACCTAATGGTTTAAGAGGTAATTTAAATGGTTATGAGATTTGAACTGTAAATCTGATGTCTATCATGGCCATAATAGCTTTGTTTGTAAGTAGGAAAACATGATGCAGTTCGTTGCAATCTACCATATTCTCATGGCAACATAATTCTTGACATATTTCAGTTCATGATATCTTTTATATAGTGATCGCCTAGCAACATGCATCGAAACATAACTATCATGGCAACATAATTCTTGATATCTTTCAGTTTAAAACGACTTGGACAAGGTAATGAGAAAGCCTGTAATAGGCTCTAATGAATTTACCATGGTGTACTAATATCTTTGAGCAGGCGTACTTGGTCGTTTTTTCACATCTTGCTGATAGGATTACCTTATGTTGTACAAACTGTGATATCTGTTAACAGGTGAGCAGAAATTGTGATCAAGATAACAAAATTTTAACAATAGGGAGCAATTTAGCTAATAAAATGGGCCTAGGATGGCATTTGGTCAATGTTTATTCATATGATAGAATTAGGTCCTATCCGAATTTATAATTTATTACTTTGTAATCAATAAAAAAATTCAGTTAGAATGGACAATCATTGACAATTCAACATGGATTATCGTACGTACTTACATGTTAAACATCGATGATATGAGCTTAGCTTGTGACTTACTTCAGTTACTTGAGTTTGGCACTTTGGCTCTTTGAAAGATCGACTCTGAGACATAAATAAGCCAACTAAAGCAAGATTCTATGTAAAAAACTTGTGAGCAAGTTTATATGACTTTTTTTTTGATAAAATAGGACAGGTAAAATGAGATGAATGAAATATTATACAAGTACTTTTTAATGGAAATGAGTTTTGGTTGTACTGGCATAAATTAGCAAAAATCATGTGAGAAGTTTAACATACTGCAGTAGCAAAACTGCAAAATGTCTGAAATTTTGATTATTATAAACATTTATGTATTTATTTGGTTAATGTTTTTTGACCACAGATAAACCTTAAACTTGTCTAAAATTTTTAGAGAGAAAAGTAGTAACAGTACTACATGCAATTGCGGTATGGTGGTCTTCAAGAACCTTTTGCCTGTCCACTTTGATAATGGTAAATCTCTGAAGGTAACAGCGAATGTACAGAGGTCGTCGATTGCCCAGAGGACGGCTATCTTGATGTCCTTTTGTAGTCTGCAAGAATCGGATGAGAGTCTCTGAATTCTCTTAGCACCGTTACGTGATTGATCCCAGCTGAAGAAGCCCATCTGATGGCATAGACACAAGCCAGAAGCTCAGGCGCTCAGTATCTATAGCAGAGTTGGCTAAACTGAAATGACCTTGTATATTAAAACCCAAAAACATTTTGAAAGTATTCAAAGTATGACTTATTAGCTTTTTAGTTGACCTCGGCAGTCAATCTACTTAGCTTGAATTGAGTCTGAGCTTTGTGTTATTGTAAGGAATGAACAATATTTGTGATTGTAAAGTTGGACAATTGCATTTTATTTTTTTCTAATCCTCAAACATAAGTCTTAAGCCATTATTAAATAGCATAAAAAGAGTCAAAGCAATAGGAAAGGGAAAAAATCATTGTGACAAAATTAAGAAAAAATGATAGTGTAATGCCTGAAAGAAGCTTCTATTTATAGGCCTTGGAGGCGCTTTAGAGAAAAAAAAAAAAAGAACCGTATTATGCTAGTGGAACACTTAATAATAAAATAAAACAGAGGAAATATTATTACTTGAAATTGGAACCACTCGATTAAATTTCCATTTTGTGTCGTTAATTCCTATGTTGTCGATTTTGAGTACACGATATTTTTGCTCACCCCAATACCATCGGATCCACTATTGCCGCCCGCTCGTACCACTCTAAAAACCATCTAAGGCCCTGTTCTTTTGAGCTGCTCTACCTTGCTTTGCTCTGCTAAAGTCTGCTTTGCCTTGCTCTGCTTAAAAATAATAATAATAATAATAATAATATTTAATAAAAAAAATAATAATAATTATTAATATTTAATAATAATAACTAATATTTAAAGATAATACTAATTAATATGTAAAATAATAATAATTAATATATAATATTAATTGATAATAATAACTAATATTTAATGATAATAATTAATATTTTATATTATTTAACACATTTTTTAATGTTATAAAAAGAGTAAAAAAATCTAAAAAAAATCAAATAATAATAGTAATAATGCGATAATAAAAATAGTAATAATACTCATAATAATATTAATAATAATAAAATAATAATAATATTGACAGTAATAATATTAATAATAAAATGTGATAATAATAATAATAATAATAGTAGTAGTAGTAGTAGTTATAATAATAATAATAATAATGATAATAATAACAATAATGCGATAATAATAATAATAATAATAATAAAATAATTAATGATAATAATGCGATGATAATAATAATAATAATAATAATAATAATAATAATAATAATAATAATAATAATTCTGAAATCTGCTCTGCTCTTACCTCTTCTGTCCAGCTCTGCTATGTCCTGTCTTGCCCTGCTCTGCTCTGCCCAGAAGCTCAAAAGAATAGGGTTTAACTCTCTCGAAACCACTAAACATCTCTGAAACTGCTGATTCACCTCCTTAGATCCACCCCAATTACTTCAAAACCACCTTACTACCTCCAAAACATTTTATTATTTACCAAACATTTTACACAAACTGAAAATAGATAATACTATCTACCAGGCGAAACAATTACTGTAGACAGCTAACAGAGTAATGTTGGGAGCCTGATATTAGGTTCTGTGTTTCTTAAATGCTTTTAGTGAATAGTGATAGTAAAATAAGGAAAAAAAACCTTAAAAAAAAAAATTAAAAAAAAATAAAAACAAAATGAGCGAAAGTACGAAATATCAAATTTCTTAGACACTCATTTCAATTTTCGGTTTGAACTAAACTCAGAAAATCTGTTTCATTGCTGCTCATTAATGGCTGAAAAACACAAAAATCAGATCCATGAATTCCAAAATCGATTCATTAAACCCCTTTTAATCTTCAGGTTTACCACAGAAGAAATCGCCCAAAATCAAACCCCAATTTACCCGAAGAATTGGTGATTGAAATCCTCAAACGCTTACCAGTTGCATCATTACTTCGATTCATGTCTGTTTGCAAATCATGGTATTCTCTAATCACAAACCCATCTTTTATTTCTGTTCATTTATCACATCAATTAAACCCCACCTCAAAAAAGGTTACTACACTTTATAGTGTTCCTTGTAAATTGTTTTTGCATAATGTTGATGAACCTTTAGATAATTGGGTAGAAATTGATTCTCCTGTTGGTTGTATGGGTTTGATTGTTGGTTGTTGTCATGGGTTAATTTGTGTTTTTGATTATTCGTCGTATCGTGTTGTTCCTTTGATTTTGTGGAACCCTTCAATTAGAAAAGCTTTTACCCTCCCATTACCAGCCTTAATGCCATCTTTTATGTCACAAGATTTCGGAATCGTAAATGGAGGTATTCCAAGTTGTAATTTGCCCAATTTTACTATTGGGTTTGGGTTCGATTCGAGTTCGAAGGATTATAAGGTGGTGAGGGTGTGTTGGAAGTGGGAAATTGGGGAGAAACATTATACATACTTTCATGCTGATGTTTGTAGCCTTAGTAAGGGTAATTGGAGGACTGTTAAATCTTGTGTTGAGGGTGGTAAGTTTGTTCTCGATTGTAGGGGGGTGTTTGTGAATGGGGTCATCCATTGGATGTGTAAGATGAAACTTCCTAATAATGTTTTTCTTAAAACGGTTTTGGCGTTTGATCTTGCTAATGAAGAATTTAGTCAGATTCTTTTGCCAAATCCCATGTCAAGTGCTATGTTGTTGTCGGTTAAGTTAGTGGAGGATAAGCTTGCTGTTTCGTGTACTGGTGATGCGGGTAATGTATGGGTGATGGAAGAGTATGGTATAACAAAATCCTGGAGAAAGCTTCTTGATTTTCATATAGGAGATAATGTGGGTTCAGTTTTAGGTGCTGTAGTTGCCGGGGATGGTAAGATTGTGGTGACAACATCTGTTGGAAATTGGATTTCATGGGATCCTAACAATCAGGACTTGAAGAATCTTGCTTTGCCTATCCTTGAGCCAAATTATGTGGATACTTATGTCCAAAGCCTGGTCTTTCTCAGATTCAAAAATCGAGCACTGCGTTGCAGGAAACTCCCTGTGGAGAAGAAAGTGGGGAAGAGATTGACAACAAAACAATATAGGTAAATCTTGAATTGTTACAATATAAATTTTTACTTGTTCAATGCAGTTCATATGTCATGATCAGTAGAATGTTGTCTTTGGCTATTAATTTACAAAAGTAATGAAAATTGTATGATGTGATTCCTCAATACTCGGAAATTTTTATATTGAAGTATATGCCTCTTTCAATTACTGCACTTATACCTATATATTACAATGGATTCCTATGGCAATGTTTATGCTTTCTGAAAATTGTTTTTATAATAGCCATTTGTGCTTGGCATTTTTGAGCATAAACATATACCATATGAACTTTCACTTTTTCCTTCTGCTAATTTTAAAGCTTTACAACTTTGAATTAATTCACTAATGGTTTAGTTATTTTTTTTTCTAATGTGCTAGCAAATGATATTAGATTCTTGATACTTTGATACTTGATAGAATAAAAAGCTGTAAGTTGGTTGTAGGTAATCCTGTTAGACTGTAAGGTAACTAAAATTGTTCATTGTGCATAGCTTAGAAAGCTATGAGTCCTAAGACGATCGATTTTTCAGGAATATTTTATTCTAGTTCAAATATTTGCTACATTGAGATGGATCCGTGTTATGTTAGAAGAGGTTCTCAATGCAAATGAGAATTAAAATTGAGCTCCGTCCTTTGGATTCTTCTCTGTTTCTTTAAATTGAAAGCTAGTGCAAGTTACTGTTGTTTATGAATAAAGCTCGTTCGAGAGGGAGCTAAACAAAGTGTTATGTTTTTAAGGATCTTATCTTCCGTCAAAAATAAAAAAACCTTATCGATTTACTGTTATACTGTAAAATATTAAAGCCTACAAAATTGACCCATGTAACTGTAAGCTTCCAAAATTGACCCATGTAACTGTAAGCTTCCTTACCTATAGTCTAATCAATATCCAAGGCATATGATGCAAAGACTATACTTTGTTGTTAAGTTTGTAATTTTGAATCTGTGATGGATATAATTTGAGTCGTTTGTTTGTCTTTCAAACTTTCAAACTGTGATTGAAGTCGTTTGTTTGTCTTTCAAAGTGATTGATATAATCTGTGATTGAAGTCGTTTGTTTGTCTTTCAAACTTTCAATGTATTGAAGGCCATGTTTATTACTTTAATCTATGATTAGGGTAGGATGAGAAGTTGAGAACTAGCAAGCATGATTTTTTAGTTGGATGAAGTAGCAAATCAGAGAGATTTGTTCGATGAATTGACAATTTCTGAAGCGTCAAAGGTTGATAGCTAGGTGTCTGTCAAGTCAGTTTGGATGCTATTTATCTATGCAAATTAATGTTGTTACGGAAATAATCTACTGAAAATCAGTTCATTTAGGTTATCAGGGTTATTCATTGTGATAACCTTTCATCTCTACTGCTTGTTAAATGTGATATTATGACTGTATTGGTAGAAGATTTCCAGCACTCTGACTCAAATGCAAGGTCGTGTCATAAAATTTTAGTTCTCCCTTTCTTAAAGCTTTTTACTTCCCCAAACTCACTTTTAAGAGACTAAGGGGGCGTTTGGTAAAACGAAGGGAAACGTTATGCAATCAACATGGGGCAAGAGCGGAAAAGAAATTAATCCTTACATTTGTCTTATTGTTTGTTTATAGAGATGAAAGGGAAAGGGGGTAAAAAAACCAAAGTGAACAAAACCACCGCATCTTCTTAGGCCCGTTCACTTCATCTTATTTTTGCTGAACTAAAATTATTTTTTGCTGAAATGAAATTAATTTTACTGAATTGAAATTATTTTTGCTGAACTGAAATTATTTTTCCTGATTTTCTATTACATTTCTTCTGTAAGTTTACTGATTTTTACTGAACCTGAAATTATTTTTACTGAAACTAAAATTATTTTTACTGAATATTACTTCCACCATTCTCTTTTAATTGCAACACACACTTTTGCATAGAAATTAAGAAAGTGGACTTGGGTGGGTCCTATGTGACTTGATTCACTTAATTAGTCCTTCTAATTACCAATCCCACTCAATAACTCCTTCGGGACCAACTACTAAGACACCTCAACAGTCACAGTCACCACCTCCACTGCATAAACCGTTGCCGCCATCACCACCACCACTAAGCGGTCTAGTGCAACCACTGTCACAGCACCACACTCATCTTAAAATTGACGGAAAAAAATTTAAAAATCAATAGCAGAATGCTAGATCAAATAAATTTAAAGAAACAAAAATAAAATCAAAACAAAATTAGTTCTAAGAGAAGACAAAGTGAAAGAATTTTAATTTGGACAACCCACAATCATCCCCACTGTACTTACGATCTACACCCCAACCAAACTTTCGCCCTTATTGCCCTTACCTATTTTTGGCGTTATGGGTAGTAGATCTTGAGGCGTGGCGGTGATTTGGAGCTAGATTATGAGTAGAATGGTGATAATTGTGAGAATATCACGATTTTAGTGTTATGGGTAGTAGATCTTGAGGTGTAGAGGAGGTGGATTGGTTTTAAGGTTTGCAGATCTAGTGGTCAAAGTGGTGGGGGTGTCGGTGAGCGTAGTAAAAGTGTTGGTGGTGGTGTCGGTGGGCTCGACGAAAGAGTTGGTGGTGGTGTCGGAATGTGTGGTGAAATGTGAAAGTTGGATGGTGTCAATGAGCGTGGTGGGGTGCCGACGATGTCGGTGAGAGAGATGGGGGTAGAGTCGGTGGAGGTGGTAGGTGGTTATGTATGGCAGTAGGGTGGTGGAACTTTAAAAATGGAGAAATGAGGGGTTGATGAGAGAGAAATATAGAGTAACATAAAAGGGGAGTGGGTAAATTAATTAAAACTAACAATGAAATGAGTAAGAAAGTAACAGTATTAGGTCGGTTAATTAAGGGTAAAACAGAAAGTCACTCAAAAAAAACTTACCATTTATAGTGTGTTGCATTTAATATGACATTTCCATTTATGGAAGTGTTGCATGTAAAAGAGAACGGAGGAAGTATTATTTTAAGGTGAAGTGAACAGGGCCTTACTTTCCTTGTCAACCCCATCTCAACCTCCTTAACCAAACTATTACCACCCCACTTGAGCACCGCCTCGCTCTTGCTCCATCGTATGTCATCGGAGCACTGTCTCTCTATCTCGATCTCTCTTTTTCTCTCTCTCAGTCTCTCTCTTAGATCTTGGGATTTTGATGGGTGGGGTGGAAATTTTAGGGTAATGGTGGGTTTTGGGTGGATTTCAAGGCTTGAGATGGGTTTTCAGGTGGGTGGGGTGGGGTTTCATGGGTGGATTATTAGATTGGGGTGGACTTTGAGTGGAATTCAAAGGGTTGAGATGGGTTTATGGGTAGGTTGGGGTGGGGTTTTGTTGGTGGGTTGTTAGATTGGGATGGTGATTGGGTGGAATTGTAGAAATTAGGTGGGTTTTGTAGTAGATGGGCGGTGAGGCGGTGGTGGGTTTTTAGATTACAGTGGTGGTTGGGTAAATTTGGCAAAGATTGTGTGGGTTTTGTAGTGCATAGGCGGTGGTGCTTAGGGTGGCGATGGTGGTGAGGTGGTAGTATGGGTCAGTGGCAGGGTTAGTCTATTTTCATTATTAATTCCTTTTATTTTCTCCATAGGTTGCTTATGTGTATTCTACTAATCTGTATGAAGTCATCCATTGCATGAACTACGGTTGTCACATTTGGCACATCACTTTATAGTTAAATAGTGTGCCTTTTAGCAAATTCTGTCAGGGTTGGCTACTGTTGTCATTATTTGCTCTTCACTCCCTTCATGCCCTGCACTGGTGTCGTAAATTTTCTGCACTGCCAAACTTATGCTGTCTTTTTATACACTGTCTTCTGTATTGTGTCATCCTTGTCATAATGGTGCTGTTCTGCTGGCCTTGCCTTGAGTTGTACCTTATTTTTGGTCTTAGAAGATTTTAGTTCATAGTTCATTAATAAAATCAATTCTATTGTCCTAATTATCTTTTACTTTTGTATGTCTTCATCAGGAGCTACTTGCGCTTTTAAGGAGTGAGGATTATCGGAACTGAACAGTGTAACAGTCAAGTTCAATCGGCTATATATACACATATATTATGTAATATCCGTTGTCATAGCGCCCCCCTCCGCCCTGCGGTGACTGTATATAATTATTTGAGCATGCAGTGTTGAAGTTTATCTCTGTATATGTAAACATGAGCAGCTCTTGAAACACCTGTAAGAATTTGGTTTATGTATTGATCCGTATATAAGCTGCTGTTAGTATAATACGAAGTACTTTGAAAATATAATATATGATACACTTATAAATCATGAGCAGTCACAGACGATCTTCAACTGAAAGATGGCATAATGAAAGGATAATATGATCATATTTTTAATTGGTATCATTGTAAGAGTTTAGTTCCAGGTTTGAAAAAGTTGCCTCATCAATAACTATATACTAAAAGACACACCAGCAATGACACGTGTCGATTTCTGGTATGTTCTTAGTATATTTTTTTTAATAATTAATTACTAAATTTTATTTAAGGAAGTTATTTAAAAAAAAAAGTTTGTTTTTTTTTGTCAACTATATAAATGAGCACTAATATTTATCATTTTTATGTTGATACTCAATTAATTACGGAATAATAAGGAAATATATAATTGTTTTCAAGATGTATTTTTGGTGGAATATATTTTAAGAATATAATCTTGAACAAATATTCCATGTTACTTCAATTTTGTTAAAGACATTAAACAATTTTTATATTGTATGCTATAAATAAATTAATTTGTAAAAGTAATTAAAATAACGTACCGTGCATGGCACGGAACCTAACCTAGTTTTCATTAATTGAAACTCGTTGTGATTTGAGCTTTGTAACGAGCGTGTGCCATGAGTATGGATTATTATGCATTACTTAATATCTTCATTTTCCACCATACAATCGATTATACCTTATAAGAGACAACTAATTGTCTTGTTTGCTCATTTGCACGAATGAAGCATATTAGTTTTGTTCTTATTATCAATTTACTCGATAAGTTCATTCTTTTTGTTCAAAAAAAATAATTTACTCTCATTGTATACAAGTTATATTAGCAAAAGTAATTTAGTACAAATGGTTGAGCTTTAATTATCCATTTATTTGACATAACTTGTCCATTATATGCGAGCAAGATAAATTTTCCCTAGGGGTGCTAATCATGGTAAATTTGTTTTTGAATTATATGCTAATAAAATATATTATCGAGATATTTACGAGCCTATCGAGTCAAGTCAGTGCTTTCTCAGCTGTATTCGTTAACATCTCAAGTCGAGCCATATTCAAGTCGAGTTTCAACCGGACTTTGACCGAGTCGAGTTTTAACCGAGCTTTGACCGAGTCGAGTTCAAGTTGCTCGCGAGCTGCTCAACTTATTAGCATCCTAATTTTTCTATTTTTTTTTCAAATGAGGAAAATTAATTTGTTCAGTTTTTATAAACAAGCCAACAATGATAATCGATTGTACAAGTGATAGATAAAAGATACAAATAACAAAACCACATGAACAAATTCCGTATTATTCAGGATCTCTTACCAAAACGGCAAATTTAACAAAAGTATTTACCAAAATAGCTAATTATAAATTTTAATTCCAAAACTAGTTAAATTATTGACTTGGAAGGAAATTATCTGTTTCTTATTTTCCTTTGAACCGGTTTGGTTCACTTTATTGATTTTTTTTAATTTTGTTTTCTAATTTGGTTTTATTTTAATTTTTTTGTAGGATTTTCTTAAAGTAGGAAAATTTAAGTCATATACAAATATACGGAGTATGTAAACAGTCCCAGAAACCCTAATTTCGATCACAAAAATAAAATAAATTTAAAAATAAAAAAAATAATTTTTCGTCTAGATCGTATTACAAAAATTTAGAATTTCAAGTAGTATTGTTCTATCAACACTACCACAAATTTATACGAAGATAAGGGTTTTAAAGGTATTGTTCATTTTTTATAAATTATATATATTTTTTTTGTTCCAAATTTTTATTTATTTATTTATTTTTATTTATGTATTTTTTGGTTAATTAGAAATTTGGAACAATTTTTTGTGTGATTTTTTTATTTTGTGAAACTTTTTAAAAAAATTGAGAATCGTTGCAAATATATTATGTTGAATGTTATTTTTCAAATTAATGGGATATTTTAATCTATGACATTAGAATTTCCAGAAAAAAAAAAAAAAAAACCAAAAAACCAAACTTTTATTTAAAAAAAGCTAATTTTATTTTTTATAAATAAACCCATAAAAAATTATAAAAAAAAAACCCATAAAGTAAACCAAACAGGTTCAAAAGAAAATAAGCTATAAATAATTTCCTTCCAAGTAAATAATTTAGCTTGTTTTGGAATTAAAATTTATAATTAGCCGTTTTGATAAATACTTTTATAAAATTAGTCATGTTGGTAAAAAATCCTATTATTTACTTTTAAAAGGTTCGGACAATGTGACAAGAACGACAACGAATCTTAAGTTGAAAAGTACGAGTAACAAAGTAAAACGAGGCTGGATATTCAGCAACAAAGTCGGATAAGGGAGAATCTAATTAAGTTGCCGATCTGCAGCAAATTTATCTATTTCTAGTTTATTTACTGTAAAAAGAAAAAAAAAAAAAGGTGTACTGTACTAGAAAGCAGTAACGAATCAAACTTTTGTCTTGCCGTTTACTCTTCAAGTTCAATTAAAAAAAAAAAAAAAAAAAAAAAAAAAGCCGTTTTCAAGAGTAGTAGTTGCACAAACTTACATCCCAAATCTAATAAAATTATAAAAAAGTAGGTTGCCTAACATCTTTGATTTATGTCTTGAAATTACTAACTTAATCATATTTCACATGCTAATGCATATGCATGTGACTGTAGTTTACAAAGTTGACTGACTTAATTAGCTACTACTACATGTACAAAATATAATACCAACTACATTATAAACAGCTCATTAAGAGCTCAAAAGGATCTCCAACTTACAGTCATGGAGCTTGTTTCAACTGTTAATGATTCGTGGAAGTATTTCGCGGCTGGAAGCTTTGTTGGGTTCACCCTGCTGCTTCTGTTTGCCTATCAGGTGAACCCGTATACGAGTTTTATGGCTTCTCGGAATACTGTGGTTGAATTCGTCCCATTGGATGAAACTGATGCGACTGTTAGTGTGATCAAGCCTTTGGAGCATTTTAATATCACTGTTATTAGTCCGAAGAATGAGGTGAATTCGACAGTTGAAGATGTCGTCGAGCCAGCTGAGGAGGTTGATAAGGAATGTAACATGTTTGAAGGGAGGTGGGTGTATATGCCGGATGAAGATCCTGGATATGATTCAACTAGGTGTCCGTTTATTGAGGAGAAAATGAGTTGCAGGAAAAATGGGAGACCGGATTTCGAGTATGAGAGGTGGAGATGGGAAGCTAAGGGTTGTGACATACCATTGTAAGTTGTACAAAGTATTTATTTTATTAATGAAAGCTAAATTTTCATATAATTTGAATTATATGTTGAGGAATTTACTGTTATTTTGTTAGGTTCAATGGAACTGATATGCTAGAAAGATTGAGAAATAAGAGGGTGATTTTGGTAGGAGATTCGCTAAATCGAAACATGTGGATGTCTCTTGCTTGTCTTCTGTATTCCTCCATTCCTTCTTCTAGTGTTGAAGTGAGTGCAGAAAGTCCAGTTTATAAGTTTTTGAAAGCTAAGGTAAAAAGATCAGACTAATATGTTACATTAGGACAATAACTGAACATATTTTCTTTATTATATTGTTTAATGTAGCTATTTATTCTTGTTTTTTTATGCAGGATTATAATTGTACTGTTGAATTCTATTGGAGTCCATTTCTAGTGGAGTTTATTGAAAAACATGTAAGTGGTCACAAAGTTCTTGTGCTAGACAAGCTATCACCGAATTCGTTGCAATGGAAAGGAGCTGATGTTATGGTATTCAACTCCGGCCACTGGTGGCTTCACGGTGGCAAAATGAAATCGTAAGCAAGCTCAACTATGATCACATTAGTAAATATTGTGATTGAATCTACAATACCATTGTAAACATCGAGTTTTGAGAGGATATTGCAAGTATAGATATCCAAATATTTTAATGGGCTCATAAATAATGACAATCTTTTACTTTACAGGTGGGATTTGTTTGAATATGAGGGTAAGTTAGTAGAAGAGATGCCAATAGAGCTAGCATACGAACGAGCCATGACAACATGGTCAACATGGATCAACATCAACGTCGATTCCAACAATACATCAGTATATTTCCGAAGTCTATCAGCAGTGCACCACAGTTCAGACGATTGGTGCTACAATGCAACCCAACCTCTGGAGGAGGACTCAGTGAAGTCTGTCGCGCAAAGATCTGATGTACTCCTTCCGGTCATTAAGAAGGTGATAGAAGGGTTGAACAACAACATACAAGTGAAGTACATGAATATCACAAAATTGTCGCAATATAGAAGGGATGCACATCCTTCAATTTATAGGAGCAGTCAATGGAAAGTTATGATCAAAAAATTTGAGAATAGTCTAACAGGATATGCTGATTGTAGTCATTGGTGTCTTCCTGGATTGCCTGATACTTGGAATAGATTACTTTATGCTTCTCTGTTCTTTAATACTTCAGGGGGTAGAACTAGTCCTTAGAATTTTTTTTTTGGTTGACAATTTTTTTTTTTTGAACAGTTCTTGGATTAGGTGAGATGGAAAAGTTGGACAAAGGTTCAACTTTAACCTGTTTAGTGTTTACAATCTACAAAATAATACTTAATTTGTTCTTTTTATATATTTATATAATAAAAGTTGATACTGATTTGTTTATATCCCTTAAATAATTTTTGTGATTTATACATGACAAAAAAAAAAAAAAAAAAAAAAAAAAAAAACCTAAACATGTGAGAGTTGTTAGATTTGTGTTATGTGATTTTAGTCTATCAACTTTTATACATTGTATGTAGTTATTTTCTTCCTTTGAAAAATAAACTTTTATATTTCTTTTAGTTTTTGGAAAATTTTGTATGGTAACCCTTTATTTTGGAAAATTCTATTCGAAAGACACTTTTTTTTTTTTTTTTTTTTTTTTTTTTTTTTTTTTTTTGACATATCCTAAAGTGTTCTTACATAATTACATTGGTGCTTAAAGTGTGCTAAATTTATTTGAGGTTTCCATGGTCCTCAAAAAATCAAGGCGGTAACTCATCAAAATTTGAAAGGTGTTCTATGCTTCGAAAATCCTACGTATGGAGAGACTTTCGTGGCCAGCGCGTAACACCCCTACAACCATATGTCTACTAATTTTAGGCAATCAAAATACAAACATCTTTCTTCCCTATTTTGTGAATCGCTATGTTGCCAAACACAAAAATCCGAACATGAAACCATCAACACAGCCTAGCTTGAGAATGATGTCATAATTTCTAGCATGCATAACCCAAGTTGACCAAAAACTCTCTTCAAATACTTTATATTTAAAAAAAAAAAAACCCATAAAACTTTAATTCAAGAAATAAAAATAAGTTACATCAAAAATTCTAAATTGTAATTTCAACTACCAAATCATAAAAGTACCTAATTATTGTGATAAGCAATAGCATAAAGATCATAATCTAATGCATAACAAAGATTGTTACTTTATTACAAATTAAAAGAAATTTATCATCATATACTTCTAAACAAAATCCACAATGTTTCTCGCTTCAAAGATCGTAGAAACTGCAATCCCAAAACATATAACCTTAAAGTGCATCATCATATCAAAATTTGTGTCAATTTAATTTGAGACTTGTCTTCATCAAACTTTAATGAAGACAAGTCACATTATATTCCAAATTCAAGACTGCACTTTAATGCTCTAGACCATATTGATGCTTTGGTTCCTCGCCTGTCTGAGATTGATGACTCGACATGGAAGCGGGTCAATGCTATTGTCAAACAATGGGGATTTATGAGATGACTTAACGGATTTAGCTTACGCAATAATGAAGCTTGATGCTACATCATTCAAATTTTGGAAACGATTTAAAGAACTTTTCCACGACACAAGCATACCTGAGTAAGCTTTTTAGAGGAGAAATCCAATAATACTCGTCTAAAAAACTTTACAAATATGTTTGACTATTGCAAAAAGATCAAACTTCTTGCAGATACAACTTAATAATGTGAGGAATCTCGTCTCCAAACGCAAGATGGTTTTCAATTATTCACGGGCTTGCAAACGGTGAATACGATACCATTGCCGCTTTAACTTAGTACACATACCCGCTTTTTACATCTTATAAGGCTTGGTCGCAAATGTTATTAAAAGAGTCCAGAAAATCGAACCAGGAGGAGCATTCTCAACAGCCTTTAGTGGCGCAACATTCAATTTAATTCTACGCTGCAAACACCTCCCTGCACCTATGCAATTCGACCAGCAGTAGTGAGGCGCTGGTGGACATGGCAACATTGGCAAGTGCGGCCATGGTAGGGGTGCTAGTGGGAGTGGAGGTAAAGGCTGTGGGCTTAGTAATAATCCTACCCATGGTACCACGCAACATCAACACCAGCAACAGCACCAACCTTCCTAAGAATATGCATGGCCAACGATAGGCTTGGCCACCCTCATGGTAGCAACAATGTCAACCTGGGCAGTGGGCCTCACCTCCATGCCATTTTTTCATTATCCTAGGTTCCTTTTTCTAGGTCCACAAAGCAGTATTTTGATCGAGTTCTTGTTCATCACAACACCAAGCATACTTTGCCCCTGTTTAGTAACACGACCCAATCCTATCTCCAACAGATTTGGGCCAAGCTTATAGTACTATGAGTCTCCAACAGCCTGACAAAGGATGGTACATGGATACGAATGCTACCTCCCATCTTATAAACAATTTGGGTAACCTATCTAAAGTGTTTAATTTGAGCAATCCTCAATTTATTCTTACTGGTGATAGTAAATGCATTACAATTTAGGTCTATGGTACTACAACCACACCCCCATACCTTAACCCCCATTATTTGATCTTAAAAATGTCCTTTATGCACCTAACATTATCAAAAACTTAATATATGTACAGAAATTTGCTTGTGACAATTCTGTTTGTATTGAGTTTGATTTATTTATTTATTTTTCCAGTGAATGACCTACGTATGGGGATAATTCTCATGAGGTGCAAATGTGTAATAGTGTGGAAGAGCTCTATCCTTTTTCTTCAACTTCTGCTACAAGAGCACATCATCATCTCATCATAGTTACAATATCTCCTTCAACTTAGCACAATAGACTTGGCCATCTAGAGCATTTTTTATTTTTATTTTTAATTTCCTCAGAAAGAATAATTTCATTGCTTGTAATAAAAGACATGATACTCATTTTTGTTACTCATGCCCATTAGGAAAACATACTCGATCATCTTCCATTTAAGACTTCTTCTAGTATCACTTTCAATTATCTCCTTTGATATAATTCATGATGATTTATGGACTTCTCCAATTCGCAGTAAATTGGGTCATAAATATTACTTTGTGTTCCTTGATGATTTTTCGCATTTTCTTTGGGAACGGTGTTGCCTCTCAAATACAAGTCTCAAGTTCATTCTATTTTTCTACAATTAGAGCATATGTCAAAACTCAATTTGAACGAAATAATAAAACATTTCAAAGTGACAATGGCCACGCCGTGAATTCGATATTACATCTTTTCACAATTTTGTGCTATACTGATGGGATAAATTTTCCGTTATTCATATCCTCACACCTCCCCTTAGAACGGTAAAGCTGAGTGCTTCTTACGCACAATAAATAACATGGCCTGGACTATGTTTTTCCATATTTCCTTACCACCCTCTTTTGGGTCTATGTTGTCCCAATAGTGACTTATTATGTGAATATCTTACCCTGATAAGCCGTGTTTTGTCCATAATTGTTAGCTTATTTCTAGTTGTTTTTATTAGTTTAGCCTAGTATTTTAGTTCATTTTGGCTTAATTTGGTTTAGTTTCGATGATTCGATACTTTTATGGGAAGTTTCGTTGTTTTAGATGTATTTCAGGATTAACGGAGCTAATTTGGAGAGTTTATGAAGTCATGAGGCTAAACCGAGGCCCACAAACCTTCACGAAGCTCGTTGGTCAAAGAACGACTCATTTAGGCCCTTTTGGAGTGAGGCATGCCCATGCCCAGCCGAGGCACGTCCGTGCCTAAATCTCAGAAGTTGAAGAAGTTGTGTTCGATATGAGGCACGTCCGTGCCTGCTGCTACCATCAGATTTCATGTGAGGCACGTCCGTGCCCAAAATAGGCACGTTCGTGCCTGGATTCCAGAAGACTTGAAGTTTAACACTCGATGTGAGGCACGTCCGTGCCTCTTGTAGGCACGTCCGTGCCTCTTAGGAAGACTGCGCGATATATTTTTGTTGCGTTTTCTTATCTTTTTCGGAGTATAAATACTCTAGACTTTATATTTTTTCATTATTGAGTATTTTATTAGCATCTAGTTTTTATTATTAGACCTAGTTTTTTCTATTGTTTTTACATTGCTTTGTAATTTAAGATTCAAGATTCTACTTTTGCAATCTCCATTTATTTCAAGATTTGGTATTTTCTTTTCATCTCTTATTTCTTAATTATGTTTTCCTTGATTATTATTGTTATTGTTTCTTTCAATATGTGTGAGTAGTTTTCTTATTCCAAGATCTAGGGTAGCCCAATTATGATTGATGCATGATTTAATTCTTTAAATTCTCTAATAACTATTGCAATTATTTATGCTAAATTGATTGTGATTATGCCAATACTATATTAGAGATAATTAGTATTGTTATTATTCCATAGTTTTAATCACAACGAGAGTTGGGTTTTAACGGATTTGAGTAAATTAATTTAGGGTTTGAAATTCATCACGAGAGTAGTTGAATTGATAATTGGGAAGTGAAGTAAAGTGTTTAATGTCTCTAATTTGCATGATACCATGAAAATAGGCTTGATTGTGGGTTAGGGAAGCCATTGATACTCGAGAGAGGTCCTTGGTATTGATTAGGGTTTACTTTTCCCCATGTTAATTGGAATTGTATGTTAGGAGTAGATATATAATTGCATCGATGGTAATTGTGGTGATACTTGATCTTGGATGTTTTAGCTTATTGATTTATTATATTCTTTGATTTATTCTAAGTTTACCATACATTAGCTTTTAGTTTATTCCACCATTGATTGATTCTTGCTTGGTAATTACATGAGTCTAGATAATTTAGGTGAACCTTAGTCTCTTGGGATTCGACCCTTACTTGCCCGACTACATAGTTAGGAGGAATAGTTAGGTTATTTTTGTTAGGTACACGACACGCCTACCAAATTTTGGCGCCGTTGCCGGGGACTAACGATTTCTTCTGATTATTTGTGATTCGTTTTTGTTAAGCTTTATTCGTTGCTTCGGCTATTGTCTCTTGTGTTTTTAATACTCTGCTTTTAGTTCCTTGTTGCATGCAAACACGAGGTTCAGGATCAGACGATTTAATACCTTTTGATTCTGAAATCGAAGCAATTGCAAGGAGACGAGGAGGTAGAAGAAGGAGGAGGAATCAAAATAATAGAAACATGGTAGACCAAGGAACGAAGTCTCTTTTGGAGTACGGTATCCCTGATACGACAACCGGACTCCTCTCTAGCATTGTCAAGCCACCTGTAACTGCTCAGCACTTCGAATTGAAACCACAGTTCATTCAATTCATCTCTAATGATTCATTTGCAGGCACATTACATGATTGCCCAGTAAGTCATATTGATAGTTTCTTGGAGAAATGTGATACTATGAAAATGAATGGTGTTACAGATGATGCTATCAGACTTTGCCTTTTCCCTTTTTCACTACGGAATAG